GCTTTTGCTAGAAAACACATGATCTTTAAAGGTTGTTTTAGGATACTTGAAAATTGTACACAGGAATATACAGAAAAAGAAGCATTAATGTACTCTCAACTAGTCAAATATTAGAAGCAGAAGAATGTTGTGAAAATAAATTAATTCACATTCCTGGAGCACTCAGTGTACTGAACAATGTCACAGAAATGCCAATATGGAAATCAGTAAGCTTGAATATTCTGAAGCTTGAATAATAGAGCTGGTATAGTGTACACTAAATAAATCTTGGGCCAGCCAACTGAGCAATGTGAATAGAACACAGCACAGCATCCATGTGGATTCAATGAGTCCTTTCATCTTGTGGAGTGAATAAGGCAAAGTTCCCATGGATAAAAATTATACCCAAGCATGCAATTATTTGCAAAGGCAATCCTAATCTTCTGGAATTTTTTAACTCAAAAAGACTTTTGGGTTTACAATGTCAATACTGTATAGTTACTTATGTATGTAAATGCATAATTGTCTAGGTTTATTTTAAAAATCCACAGTTATGATGTGGGATTATATCATATACCACATCTAGAGCTGCAACACAGATCTCTGATTTGTATTAAGAGTAACTAGCAACAGAATTAAATTGAGATCCACTAGAGAGGATGTCAAATATCAGTGAGCATTAGGTTTCTCAACCTGAGTTATCCTAGAAAAACTGTGCTTTCTAGTTTAGCAGACTATTGTGGGCACTGCCTCTTTTGTCCTGTCTTTTGCAGTCTGCTGCTCAGCTAAGCCCTTTCTCCCACTCCTTACTTCTACATTTGAATTTTTCTATCATCCTATTCTATTCCTCAGATCAATCCCTGTTTCCTTCCTAGACATTCCCAGTCTTTCTTCTCAGCTATTTCTATCATTAACAATGTTTTGCTAGGCCAGATAGGTATATCTTCTCCTTGTGCTTTCCCTCTTCTGTGAGTTGCCTGTATCAGTTCTCTTGAGAAAAAGTCCTCTTGTCCCTACATATGTACTTCTTCTGTTCAGAGTAAAATTTTCAAAAATCATAGCCTCGCAGCTCTTCCTATCTTCCCAGTTTCTAGGTCTAACCTACAGAAGCTGATTACTCTCCTTCGCTCTCAGTTGTTCAAAATATTTGTCCATCCCATGAGTTCCATGTGCAAAACCTACTCCTACCACACTGGCCAGTTCTGCTCTTTCAGAACTCCAATTTCTTTTTTGCGTAAGCCATCACATAAGCTTTCTCACAGTCTGCTCCTTCTGCAGTGCCTCTTTGTGTTTCAGGGCACTTGCCTTCATGGACTGTGTGTCAACAGTGGGAAGAAATATCAGTTGGGACATCAGCAGTATCTTTTATCACAAAATGGTCCATAGGAGTTAGATAGTTCAAAGAACAGTTTATCTTAAGCAGGCTTGCAATGCTAAGGTGAAGCATTCCCAAGATGAATTAAGTATATGGGAATTTTCATTGTCATTTTATAAAGTTTCCCACTGAACAAATGTGTTCATTTGTTTAACAACCTTTTTTTTCTCAACATTTTTTTTTCAACAACCTAAGTCAAAGACTGCGAATGTAGTTAAAGACTTCTTCTATTAATTGGTCATTATTTTGTTCTATATGCAGTAAACAATACATTTCTCCTTTATATTTTCCTTTGAAAAAATACAACCATGCATTTTTTTAAACAGTGTAATTTCATTAGGAATTCTTACATCATTGTGCACCACTATTTAGTTCAATGAAAAGATTATTTCTACTATGAATGACATCTGAGATTTTAAGCAAATCTGTTATATCCACTTTTCTTGCACCAGATGTACCCACGTAAACTACTAAGACTAAATTGCAACTTGGAACTTATCTATTGGAAGGTAAAAGAGATAAAAGATAATTTGTAGATTATCTTCAAAAGACTAACCAAAAAGACCAGGTTATACAAGGGTATAGATGGATTAAGAGATCAAAAGTTAATATGTGAGTATTTACTGCACGTAGGCCGATGCCAAATGAAAGGATTATCCAAACAGAAGAGGAATTATTGGAGGAATACTATGAATATGAATACAGATTGGCATGCATTACTGTATTGAAGATACTTATTAATAATTAACCAAAATTTATCACAAAGTTAATTAGCTCAGGCTACAGTTATTATCAAGCTAATAGCTAAGATAACAAACAAGTCATCATTTAAGGAGTCTATCAGGAAATATAGAATTATTAATGGGGAGCATGCAAAAGATACCTGTTAATTGATGTCACAGAGAAGATAAATTATCATTATTATCTGCATTTATTTTTAGACAAAATATGTCAAGATACATAAAAATTTGATGTGAGCTTTGAACAGCTGGCAGATTGTCAGCATAGTCTTAATGCATCTTCAGGATAACAGAGAATAGAACAAAGACTGATGCAGGAATGTGGGTCTGATTTCCAGAAGGCCCTCTGTGTAACCTGCATTTTGCCATTTACAACAATTTTGCAGTAAAAGAGACAAGATCCAGGACAGAGGTTTCCAAAGGCATGTTACTTAATTAGATTTATATAGGACTTTTACATTTGCTTCCCTCCATTCAAAATCTTTCTGTTATTCCTTCTCAGTCAAGTACTATAATTAATCATCAAAGGACTACTGTTATTGTTATTTGGTCATCTAAAAATTAAAATTATTTAGCATATTTTCTGTTTGCTATTCTAAATTAATATTAAGCTGAGGTATATCTCTTAGATCCAGTCTCTAAGAAGATCCCCATTACTTCATGGCAGAAAAACAGCAGTTGACCTTAGAGTGGATGGTCCTGCACCCTTCAATGCTGAAAGTTAAGTAAGAGAGTAACTGTTCCCAGTTCTAGCAGGAACTTGTTTCATTCTAAGACAAGGAAGGGTGGAAAAATCTCTTCTTTGTCTGAACAGAGGATCCAGAATTCTGCCCTACTATTAGAGACAGTACTAGGAAGGGAAGCTAATTTGTCCACTGCTTGCTGCTTGCAGGCTAGGTAGAAACTTGTTCTTTTTTTATTGCTATAAACCACAATAAAAGTAATAGGATCTCTTCTATTATAGGTTGTATTTAAAATCATAATATTTACTGTTGCTGCAGAGAATCTTAGCATTGGCTCTACAGTACCTGTACTGTAGCTTGCTTAAAGAATTCAGCCATCCTAAACCACAGTCTTTCAGAATAGGTGCTGATCACAGAAATAGCCAGTGGACTATTAATTATTTAGTGGTGGACTAGAACTCTTCATTCCTTCCAGATATCAGTAATTGGATGGTAAGGAGAGACCTTGCTCTCTAGACTGGAGATGGCCCGAATTCTTTTGCAAATGGAAGCATTTAAATGGACAAGGTCAGATTGACATTTGGAGTACTTCAGGTGAAAGATCTGGAAGAACCAAACTTGGTTTTGTTTCTCCAAAGTGGATTGAAGCAATTTAACATTTTATCTCCCAAGAAGGCATGAAGCCTGTGTTTTGCTATTGTTATTTTCATAATGGGAATGGCTCTGATACTATTTCTGATTCTGTAAGTGACTGGGAAAACTAAGGACAAAACACTACCTGTGTTAGACATGGGTAATAACAAAACTGCCATTGACATTAATGGAGTGAGGATTTTGTTCACTTTCCTTTTAAATTAAAACAGCAAACTTTTAAATTCGAGGTGTTAAAAATACAATTTTTGTATTCCAGCATTTTCACAAACCTTTAGTTAAACAGAAAAATTTGATCCTATCTCTAAAAATATCCAGTAGTATCATCTCACAAGAAAAAATGACCGAGCAAAGCAGAACGCTTTTTTCTGCACACAAGGTAACTTAACACATACTTTACAGTAAGACAGTAATGAAATCCTGGTCTGCTTTAATTTCTGAAAGATTTCCTACCATATTGTACAATATAATTTCTATAACTTCCTGTCACACCTTCCTTGTTCAGTTTTTCTCTGAATAATTTCGAAATTCTTATTTCACTGTCTCTTAAATTTTCTGTCTTAATGTGTCCTCCTTTCATCAGTTGTTTGCATTAGATCGAAAGTTAATACCACTACTTATGCAAGAGCATGTCCAAAAATAGAGGAAAACACAGTTACTGAAATACTAGCTTGAGCTGAATAAATATACTGAAATATAATCTGTGCTTTCAGATTAAAATCCATCCACAAAAACATCGATTACTACTTTTTTACATCAATTTCATTATGCAAGTGTCATTCTTTGTTCCTAAGTAATAAACAGCTAACAAACTGTTGCTTTATTTGATGTACTTTACCTACCTGTATTAACGCAAAATAAGTACTGAAACAAAATCAACAGCCCTGAACCAAAAACCCTCTGAGCAAACTAATCAACAAACCCAGAAATCACTCCAAACCTGTCTAAAAACTCTTCCATGTGCTCAAAGAAACTCTTCTGAATCATATGACCTCCCTCTGAAATTAGTCCTACAATTCCTAGTATATTAATAAAACATTAAATCTTTTTTTTTCCTCTCTTGAAGTTCTGTAACCAAAAGCAATTTATCAGCTTCCCCAAAGTACTGTTATTTTCCCATCAGTGCTATTTCATCACAGTGCCCCAGATTCAGAGGACTAGATTCATCAAAAGGATGACTGACTAGTATTTAAATATCTTAAGCAATATGTAAGACAGATAGTTTGTCATAGAATCACAGAATACCCTGAGTTGGAAGGGAACCACAAGGATCATTGACTCTAACTCCCAGCCCTGCACAGGACACCCCAGGAATCACACCATATGCCCAAGAGCATTGTCCAAAAGCTTCTTGAGCTCTTTCAGTTTGGCGCTGTGACCACTTCCCTGCTGTTCCAGTATCCAGTATCATCCAGTATCTGGTGAAAATCTTTCTCCTGATATCCAACCTCCCCGACTGAGGTCCATGCTGTTTCTTAAGAGTCCATATGATGATGAAAAGGATATTTAAGGATATTTTAAAAATTTAACACCTGAGATTTTTTTTTTTTCCTGCAAGATAGTTCGACTTACTGTTTTTTCCTCATTTTTCTCTTCATCTGCAGACTTTAATGACAGTGTTTTAAGGGAAAGGCCATAGTATTCTAATGCAAGTCATTTAAAAATATTCGAAATATTTATGCCATTCAGTAGGCATTTTAAGGAGCTCGTGTTACAATGCTGCCGTAGTTCACAACATTTTTGGGAAACCTTACATCTGGTGCAGAATATAGGGAAGTTGACGGGGAGCTCAAGAGTCCAGTAACAAATCTGGAGCGCCGTTAGCCAACCACATAAATCAGTGATTCAGTCTCCGCAGCCTTAATGTGGCATTTTAACATGGCTTTTAAGGCCACGTAAGTAATGTGCATAATTAAACAGCGTACTCTGGCTTTTTAACTGCTCAACGCGCCTTTCACGGCCTGGAGACGCTCGGGCAGGACCCCACCGGTCACTGTCAGCCCTGAGGCGACGCGCAAGGCGGGCGCGGGGGACACTTTGCCCCCCGGCTGCGCGGCGCCTGCGCAGGGAGCCATGCCGGTTCCCGGCAGAACAAGGCAGGGCAGGGCAGGGCAAGGGGCGAGGGTAGGAAGGAAGGAAGGAAGGAG